CACTTCTGATTGGTCCACTTCCCTAACTTCTGATTGGCCCATTTGTAGTACTTCATTTGCATGGAGCTCACTCTTAATTGGTCTATTTCTACAAAGTTTATTCCTGGTTGGTCAACTTCTGTTGTACTTTATTTGCATATGATGTTGCAAAAACTGGCAGCCTACAAAAGGCCTGTGTAAACCTACAACAGACGGGGTCCAGAGCTTAAAGTGTTAAGTTCTTTGGGCCCTCTGGGCCCAAACCTGAGTTGTCTAACTCTCCGAGTGCTGCCTGGTCTCTCGCCTGGATCCAGGTTGCCGTCACAACTGAGCTGTAACACTGAGCTGTAACACATTTTTCCGCAACAGCATGTCTAACAAGCTCTTAGGTAATGCTGCTGCCGCCGATCTGGGAACCACACTTTGGGAACCACTGGCTTAGAACAATGCCTGGCATACAGTAAGCACTTATTAAGTGTGAGCTGTTATCATCTTTTCCTAGGTGCTACTTTGTAGTCCCTGAGCACAACACTTTATGCTCCAGTGCTACTCAGTTCGGCCTTCATGTAGATGCAACTTGGAAATCTTTTGCTTACAGTGGTTTTCAAAGTGTGGACCCAAGATAAGCCCCGGGAGCAATCACGTGGGAACTTACTTATAATGCGAGTTCTTGGGCCTCAACCTAGATCTATAAAATCAGAAATTATGGGGGTGAGGTTCAATAACCCATTTTCTAACTAACAGCCCTCCAAATGACTCTAATACACATCAACTTTCAGACATACCACTCTACTAGAAAACCCCCATGACCACCACCATATCTCTATTGAAAATGGGAGGCAGGATGGCTTAAGATCCAGCGTATAGATTTTGGTTGAGTTGGAGCCCAGTAACTAGCTCAGCTTCTTAGTTGCTGTGTGGCCTTACTTGAGTTTTAACGCTTCTTTACGCCTCAGTTTCCTTATCTGTAAAAATGGGCATCACCCTCAAACCTACCTCACAGGAACCTGAGATGATGCAAACGAAGAGCTTGGTACACGCCACTTGTCACAGAAGGTCGGCTGCCACTGTTACCTTTATAATCACTGTGATGTATCCTTTCTCAAAATGATTTAAGCTAGCTTATAAGAAAGGCATAGATATATAGGTACATAGGAGAGCTAAAATAAAAATTAATAATAAAAAGAAAAATGTCACACACAGAAGGTGGAGAGGTTGAAGGGGAGGCATGGCTGAAACCATTACTGCAACTGTCTTGCCAAGTGAGGTCTGGACTCCTCTGTGGGCCAAAGCAAATAGCGGAAATACACAGGTCACGGTTCCCACTGCTTGGAAAGAAGGAGACCAGCTCTTCTGGGAAAATGATATTCTCTCTGCCACACCAGCTCTGAATTCTAGGAGAACCTGATCACACAAAGCTTTGCACAAAGGCCCTGGGTGACAGGAGGGACTCCCCTCCAGCAGCACTTTATGTACCTGTTTCTTTAATTAATTCTCAACAAGAGCTAAGGGCAAAGTCCTTAGATCCCAGAAGATCAGAGATGTTACACTCACTTTGGGTGCCGAATATCAGGCAGCGAGCGATTCAGGGAGATTTTATCGCTGACGTAAATGTTAAATCCATTTTCTCGGTACGCCTGATCCACTCTCTCAGCATCAGTCATGGGGTAGGGCTTCCCTTGTTCTCCATTTCCTAGGAGCAAAGAACAAAGTCAGTGTTGATGGAGTGGGGAAAGGAAGATGAAAAATATGGTTAAACCATGGAGATAAAACTTGATACAGAATGTTCCTCCAGGTTTTGCAGGGAAAAGTACAAAGAGAGGAGGGGAAGGGGCATGGACTCAGCCGTGGCCATGTCATGCGATTCAGCCCTGGTCTCACGTCATCTCCACACACGCTGTCAGGTGGACATGCGAGTCCTCATACCACAGACAGATAAACTGGGACCCAGGAAAGTAATAAAACTCGGTCTCTGGGTTCCAAAGCCCACCCTTCCCCGAGTCTGCCAAGAGCCCCAACCATGCCTGAGCCTCCAGTCTGATCACCTGGATGGAAAGGCAGGTCTCTTGCATTTGAGCTGATCAACCTTGAGCCAGTAACACTACCTCTCTGAACTGCAGCTTGCTCCCATCTGGTACCCACACCATGCTGAGAAAGTCAAATGAGAGATTGTGTACATGAAAGCTTTTTGTAAATGATAAACCCTCTTAAGGATGTGAAGAAATATTATGACTCTTTGAGGCAAGGGCAAACTTTACAAGTCAATCAAAATGGCCACAAATGATAAAGATGCTTTGATTTTTTTTTTCAGCCAGCAAACAAATTAAGATCTGCTTCGCTTAGGCCTGGGTTGTCTGAAAAGTGTTGCTTTGAATTATGGGTCTGGGTGGATCCAGGGCTAGCTTTCCTCTCTCTGCACAATCCCTCTGGGGAGAGAGTCCCTGAAGCTGCAGGAAATTATCCTCTGGGTTCCCAGGGTGCAGATGGTGAGGGGGATGGCCACACCAACCCTGCAATAACAGCTCACGCATCAGCCATTGGCGAGGATCTGGAAGAAATGGTAATAAAATCAGCTGATTAAAAACCACCTCATCTTCTAGAGCTTGTGGCCTGAGCAACACCCCGTTGACTTTGCAAAGTAAATATTGACCACATCAGCTTGATGGGAAGGGGCAAGCTGAGAGGCAGAGCCCGGGGCTGTGTCTACTCCCACACGGCCAGACAGGGAGAGGACTCCGCCGCCTCTAACTTGCATTGCTCCGTGATAAGACACTACTGGCCAGTGCCCAGCCCAGACTCAGCAAGGGATACAAATGCAGCAAGCAGAAAAAGAAGAGCAGAAGCATCTGCTTGGGCCACGAGGGGCGCTTCAGGAAGGCAGCACTGGGGAGTGATTCAGAGTTCAGGCCCGGAGCTAGGTGAGTGGAGTGCAAAGCCCCGCCCTGTTGCTCCCAGCAGTGTCGTATTGGGCGTACCTTTATCCTCCCTGCGTCTTGGGTTTTGCCCTTTGTATTCATTGGAATGAGAAGCTTCAGTGTGATGATTAAGGAGGGAACACCAGGCATGATGCTGGGCACACAATTAGTGCTCAACACACGCTGGTTATTGTTATTCTTATTTTTTTTCATGTTTAAAAACACTTTTTTTTTATTAAGGTATACTTGGCATACAATATTGTATTAGCTTCAGGTGTACAACATAATGGTTTGATATTTTTATACATTATGAAATAATCACGATACGTCTAGTTACCATTCATCACCATATAAAGCTGTTATCGACTATATTCCCCATGTGTACATCACATCCCCACAACACTTATTTTACAGCTGGAAGTTTGTACCTTTTAATCCTCTTCACCTATTTCATTCATCTTCCCATCCTTTTCCCTTCTGGCAACCACTAGCTAGTTCTCTGTATCTTTGACTCTGTTTCTGTTCTGTTTTGTTTGTTCATTGGTTTTGTTTTGTTTTGTTTTCTTTAGATTCCACATATGAGTGAAATTGTACTGTATTTGTCTTTCTCTGTCCGACTTATTTCACTTAGCATAATGCCCTCAATGTTTATCCATCTTATCACAAATGGCAAGATTTTTTTAATGAGTAGTATTCCATTGTATATACATACCATGTCTTCTTTATCCATTCATCCATCAGTGGACACTTAGGTTGCTTCCATATCTTGGCTTGGTTATTGTTATTCTTAATAAGGTCCCCATTGCATACTTTTTCTTGCTAGTTAGCCCAGAATTCTAATAATTCTGATATAACTGCCTGGAAAATCAGCCCTTTTCAAATGTTTCCTTTCTTAATTCAAGCAGCATCTCCCACCCCTTCATTTTAAATTGCTGGCATACAGAAAAATGCATGTCACATCTTTAGATTTCCCTGATCATCGGTTATTACATCAGCTCTATTTAGAGCCTTATTATAATCCAGTTTTGTCATAGGGTAATTTTTTTTTCAAAAAATCAATAGTAGTGGGTACTTTTAATTGAGATAAAACTCAATAAAATACCAGTCCCTCCCGTTTCCATGGTGTTTCCAGTATTCTACAGCTACACTTTACTTGTCACCTTCACAACAACACCCTCAAGTTGTCAAAGTAAAGCAGAAGCCCTGCTGACAGATGGGGAAACTGAGGCCGCAAGAGGATGGAATTTATCTGATGGTCACATGGTGGGAAGCGGTGTCAGAGCTGCTCCCCTGACTCCTAGCCAGGCTGTCTGGAGTGACTCTCCATAATTTCTGAACCACCCCACCAACTCTTACCCACTCCCCAGTGTAACAGGAACTGTCCCAAAGGCTAATCAGCTGAAGAAACCTTCAGCTGAAGCCTATTAAATCCATTCAACCTTGTGGCTGCAGAGCTGGGTAGGGAGAAATTCAGGTCTCCAGACCTAGGTTCAAATCCCAAGCCTGCCTCTCTCTTGCTGCATGGTTGTAGGCGAATTACCCCACCTCTCTGAGCTCCAGGTCCCTTCTTGTCAAATAAGCTACAAAGGAGGATGAGCAAAGAAAATGCACAAAGTGTGGACCATGGGCCTTGTTCATCGCAGCCATTCAATAAATGTTGGCTCTTATTATTACTGCTCCTTATTTTAGGGGTAAAATATCTTTTAGGAGGGAGACATTTTCTATCACCATAAAGGTAGCAGGGCAAATTCCGGAAGGCAGTGGATCTGGGGATGTGAGTGGAGGAAGGGGTCAGCTAACAGGAGTTGAGGGGGATCCTGGGAACCAGGGGAAGGGATGATGGCAAAGGAGACACAGCAGTCAACAGGAGGCCCAGACATGCCCACTAAACACACAGACACACATACACACATGCAAACACTCTTCACAGGACCGTGCTTTGCATACCTACGCGCTGAGCATCCCTTCTGATGGCTTCTTTGTCATGCCAGTCCTTCAGCTTCTGTCCATCTCCCAAGAAAAAGGTCTTCTTTGGCAGATTGTGTGAGCCCTTAAAAAAAATAGGCAAAAACTGTGAAAAAGAAGAAAAGAGGAAATAAGTTTTGCCTAACAGAGACCCAGAAATTACACCACCTCAGGGAGCTTTTGGTATTGATTGAACGTCTGCCATCATTTGTTCCTTTATTAATTCCCTCAGTGGAGCTTCATTAGTCCTGCCCTGTGCCAGCCAGGTTTGCGAGGGTCAGAAAGATGACGGGCATGCAGTGTCCACCCTCCTGGAACTCACAAACAGCGGGAGAGAAAACAGATGGCCAGACGTTCCTTTCACGGAAAAGAGAAAGCGACAGGTGTGACGCTGTCCAGCAGAAAACATAACACGAGCCACAAATGTGAGTTGCGTATGGAGATTTACAACTTCTCGTATTCACATTAAAAAAATTTTTTTTAAAAGAGGTGAATTGAGTTTTGGTAATATATTTCATTAAGCTCCATATACTCCATTGAAAATACGATCATTTCAACATGCAGTGGAAAAGACTTGAGCTTTTTTTTTTTGTGCTAAGTCTTCAAAATCCAGTGTGTATTTTACACTTGGGTTCATCTCAATTCAGCTCCATTCCAAGGGCCCGACAGCCCCACGTGACTAGTGGCTCTGTACTGGACAGGGCAGAGGAAGTGACCCCTGGGTGAGAGCACTGGAGGAAGTGCCACAGGACTTTGTTTCCACCAGGGAGAACTGGGGAAGGTTTTATGGATATGAGGGACTTTGGACTGGACTTCAGACAAGCCGAAATGAGAGGCAGGCCGAGCACACGGCTGGGGCATAGAGTTTCAGGTGTGGGTGGAGCGTGGCAGGGCTGGGCCCAAGGTGCACAGAGCAAGGAAGAGAAGTCAGGTCTAGGTCATCTCTGCAACCCCAAAGAGGAAGGGAAGAGTTGGCAAATGTGTGTGGAAGGTCTAAACAATCAATCACTCGGACAGCTGAAAGAAAACAGGAATATACAGCAGCGACAGGAGAGCAGTCCCCGGGGGGCTGGGCACTGAAGGCATTTATTATGTGTTCCGGGACGTGAGCCCATCCTGGTGGGCCCATTAGGAAGCAGTTTCCCTAATTAAAGGAGGCTGCATTCCAGTGTCTGGGGTCATCAGAAGGTGCCAGATGCTTTCCTATGCCAAGAATCAAGTCTGAAGGCTTGGCCCCAGGGCTGAGTAAGACTTCCCAAGGTAACACTGCTCCACACAGCTGTTTAATTATCTTCTGTGTTCACCTAAATGCACAAAGCTTCCCACATCACCTTGCCCATTAAAAACCCCGCAGACCTGCTCTTGCCACTGTGGCATGCAGCACCCACTAGTCCTATTTCCTATATAATTAATTCCTGAGGCCCTGAACACGTGGCGGGCTGGACCATTAGTACTAACAAGAAGCCACTGGAATAAAATCAAACCCACGCCTGTTTATTAAGGCTCCGGCTGATCCCTGCGTTAGCAGATTTTCCACGATGGCTCAATATCCTTACAACAGCTCTGATGACAACCATAATCCTTGGCGTTTCCTCTCCTACAGACCTCTCTGAGTTGCAAGAAGAAAATTCTGAAAGTGGGCATGCCGGAATGTCGTGGTTGGAGAGGGAAGGAAAACTGCAAAAACAAAGGCCACGTGCCTGTGAACAGCTCTCGGGGTCTGAGAAATCAGAGG